GAATGACCGGGGGATATGGACAGGGGGGTGGGCGACTACTGTTTGTCTGAGGGTGGTCGGGAATGTGGTTCAACATGTTCCCTCCTCGGCGTTTTTGGGCAAAGACCGCCTGATTGTCTTTTACCCTGGTCAGCCGCAGGTCTGCCACAGGTGTGGGGCAAAGGGGCACTTCGCAGCCACCTGCCCAGTAGTGCGCTGTTCTCTGTGTCAAGAGATTGGCCATTTAGCGAGGGACTGCAACACCATCGGGTGTAACCTTTGTGGTACCGAGGGGCACTCTTACAACCGGTGCCCGTAGGCCCTCCACAACCTCCCGGTGGGGGAATTAGAGGCTGAATTTGCCCGCATGGATCCAGAGGAGGCAGGGGTGGCTTTGGAAAAGGCAGCATCTGCTATGGTGGCGTCCCTTACGAGGGAATTGGAGAGCTGTGTGGCTCTCTCTGTTTCAGCCCCTTCTGTTTCGTCTGTTCAGGTCCAGTCCCCGGTTCCCCCCCTAGTGTGCCTGTCCCCCCCCCTAGGAATAAGAAGCAGCTGTGGGAGGCTGCCAAGGGGGCAGGTTTGGTGGAGAGTCGGTCTGGCTCTGTGGTGGCTTCTCTCCCCCCGTGCTTTTTCCGCGGCGGCGGAGGGAAGGGTCTGGTGTGAGGCACCAAGAGGCTCAGGGTTCTGTCCCGGTGGGGGCCCAGGTGAAGGAGGGGTGGTCCCTGGTTGCCAATGGTAGGCTTAATAGGCCGATGCTTTATTCTGCAGGGTCAGTTTCCTCTTTGGAGGTGGGGGAGGTGGCCCTGGAAAACCAGTTTGGGGCTTTGTCCGGGGAGTGGGGGCGAGGCTGATCCCACTTCCCCGATGGAGGATGAAGAGGCAGGAGGGTCTCTGAAGAGAGTAAGGGACCCTACTAAAAAAGTCAGGAGGAGGGTTAAGAAACGTCCCTCTCAATTATCTTAATGGCAGTTCCCACTCCGATAAAGGTGGCAACCATTAATGTTGCCAGCCTACGGTCTGTAAGAAGAAAGGAAACAGCCTTATTTTTGATTGGTGGGATGGAAGCCGATATTTTTTTTTTTGCAGGAGACCAGGTTGTCCAGCTTGGCTGATATCCATCTGGCCAAGCGGGAGTGGAGGCGTGGGCCCTCCTACTGGTCTCTTGCGGCTGAGCCTTACAGCTGAGTTGCGGTGCTTTTTACCGGCATGGTAACGTGTCGGCGGATAACTGAGGTAGAGATCGGAAGATGTCTGATTCTGGATGTTCTCGTAAGGGGGCAGGAGCTACGGCTCATCAATATCTATGGCCCACAGTCCAAGTGGGACAGGAAGAACCTCTTTGCGAGGATTAAACCTTACCTCTTTACATCCCGGCTGGTTGTCTTTGGAGGTGATTTTAACACCATCACTAGACCCAAGGACAGGAGAGGCTTCACTGACAGGCTGGGATATGACAGCGTTTTTCTAAATGCTATAGTCAGGGAGGCAGGTCTGGTTGACGCTTGGATTCAAAGTGTCCCAGACAGCACGGGTTTCACCTATAGGAGAGGTAATAGCCAGAGTAGGATAGACAGGTTTTTTTTTTAAGGAGAACTGAGTGTCGGGCAGTGGAGTTTTCCGATCACCTTATGCTGTCTGTCACCTTGAATATTTCAGACACGCCGCTGAGAGGAAAGGGCATCTGGAGAATGAATTCGTCTCTGCTGGAGGACGAGGAGGTGAGATGATCTTTTAAGGAGTTCTTTCAGGCGCAGGAGACGGTGCTGGATTTCTGCGGCAGTAAGTCTGAGTGGTGGGAGCTCACTAAAGTGCGGATCAGCAGGTTTTTCAAGGCCATTAGTAAGAGACATCAGTTTAAACAGTATAACGCCTACCAGCGGTTGCGGAGGAAGCACGATAGCCTTGTTTCTAGCGGTGGAGATTCGGGGGCAATCTCGGAGGTAAAGCTTCTCCTTAGGAAACTCCAGTATGATCGGCATGCCTCTTTGGTTCTGGAGAGGGATTATGGGAAATACCACTCACCTGACCCTTTCCAGAATTGCAAACAGAGTGCAGCGGTTAAGATGATCTCTGCTCTGAGGGATAGTACGGGGTCCCTGGCTAAATCCAGGTCAGGGATTCTGGAAGTCTCCAGGTCCTTTTATGCGGATTTACTGGGTGAGAAGCACCTTCACCGGACAAGGATGTTGAGCTTTTTGGAATCCACGCCTGGTCTGGATAGTGATGTCCCTCTGGCGAGTTTGACTGGGGAGATTACTGCGGAAGAGGTGTCCAGAGCGATTGATAGTCTAACCATTAAAAAGACTCCTGGGCCAGACGGCCTGACATCCGAATTCTTTAAGGCTTTTAAGTCCTGCCTGGCACCTCGTCTCGCGGAAGTGTATAACAGCTGTCTGGATGAGGGATCTCTCCCTCCTTCCATGAGGCAGTCTGCAGTCATCCTCTTGTCAAAGGGTAAGGATCCTTCGGCTATTGAGAACTGGCGCCCCATCAGCCTTCTTAATGTCGATAGAAAGGTTCTGGCGAAGATCTTGTTCTGGCGCTCGTCGTCGGTGGCAGACGGTTTGCTTTCTTGTCAGCAGCATTGCTCGGTCCAGGGCAGGAGTACCTTCACAACGGTGTTAGCTGTCTGGGAGGCTCTGGAGCGGTGTAAGGCTGAAGGATGGGAAAGTACTTGCTGGCAGTGGATCAGGCAAAGGCCTTTGATAGAGTCGATCATGAGTACTTCTGGCATCTCCTGGAGCGGTATGGTTTGGAGGGGAGGTTCATCGGCTGGCTATAGACATTGTACAGAGGGGCTGAGAGCTTCATATTGGTGAATGGGTTGGGTTGGGCAGCCCTTTGAGGTTGGATCTGGGGTGCGCCAGGGGTGCCCGCTGAGTCCCTTGCTCTATGCCTTTGCCATTGACCCTTTCGTCAGGAGGTTAGATGGTGGGGCAGTGAGTGGGGTGCCAGTGGGTGCCACTGGAGATCCGCCTTTGAGAGTTGTGGCTTATGCTGATGACGTTTCTGTTTTCATCTCTGGACCAGAGAGAGCAGCAGGAGGTGGTTTCAGTGATGGATCAGTATGCCGAGGCATCAGGTTCCAAGGTCAACCAGGATAAATGTGAAGTCCTCTGGATGGGTAGGGAGGGTGAGAGCTTCTCACTCCCGGACACCTTCCCGGTGCCTCAACCGAACATTAAAGTTTTGGGCATCAATATTGGCCTTGCTGATTACAGCAAGCTAAATTGGGAGACCAAACTGTCTGATGCCGAGGTCAAAGTGAGATGCTGGAAGGGACGGCGGCTCTCCTTGAGGGAAAGGGTTGATTTGATCAAGACTTTCCTGCTCCCTGTCTTTTTGTATGTCAGCTTTGTTTGCCTCTTGCCAGAATCGCTCTATACGAGGATCTACAGCTGTTTCTTCCAGATGTTATGGGGGAATCGGCTGAACCTCGTTAAGAAGGACGTGACCTACTCATCCAGGCGGGAGGGTGGCTTAGGTATGGTCAACCCGGTGGTCTTTTTCTCTGTTATGTTCTTGAAGCATAACTTTGGTAGTATGTTGGCAGAGAGACCGCCTGCATGGGTAGGACTGTTCTGGATCTGGTTTGGACCCTTTCTGCACAGTTGGGAGAGTGGCGGGCCAGTGAGAAGCCTGCTGGTCCAGCATGGTAAGCTCCCGGCTTATGTGGCCCCGTGCCTGAAGTTACTCCGGCGGAGGCATGTGACTGTGGAGGAGGTCCGGTCCCTCCCTAGGAGGCTCCTGGGCGAGAGGATTGTGGTGTCCGCTTTCCCTGCACCGCTGGACTTGAGAGATTGCCCAGGCCATGTTTTGAGGGAGGGTTTGCATTTGATAAATCTGAAGCAGATCCCCCTGAAGTTGCGGGACCAGGCCTGGCTCGCCTTCCACGGCAGGCTCTACGTAAGGGAAGTAGAGTTGAAGTACCGTCCTCCGGATGACCGTGGTTGTCCGAGGACGGAGTGTGGGGGTGAAGTGGAGACTATGGACCACTTCTTGCTTCAGTGCCCCTTTAACGTGGAAGTGTACAAAGAGGTGGGCGGGGCTCTAGGTGTTCCTTTCCTCCATCGCATGTCTTATGCGGAGTGGGTGTATGGAGCATTCGAGCGTCGCATGGGCTTTGATTTGGACACCTTATTCTTAGTCAGTTTAGTGACCCTCTATTACACTTGAATGGCACGGTGTCAGGTCTCCATTCGGCAGAAGGTCCTCCCTGTTCAGGTGGTGGTGAGTGACATCCTTGGTGAGGCTGGGAAAATTCTGGGTCTTGAGAAAGACAGGCTGCGGTGCAGGACTTGGATGGAGGCGTGGAGGAACATCAAGCCTGTTGCTGCGGTCTGTTGATCTCGGGTGGTGGGATCTGTCCCTGGTTTCAGTATCTGTTCACTCCCTAGATTTTGCGTTTCAGATTTTTTTTGGTAGCCTTTTCTGGTAGGTTGTAGGGGTCAGACATGGAAGGTCTGCGGGTTCCTTAGTCCTTCTCCTGCAGTGTATATATTCTGCTATGTTAGTCGGTTGATAGTGTGTATGGTTTAGGCCATAAAGGTCGCAAGCAGCAGTTAGTATGGAAATTGTTTATGTGTCTGTGCTGGGCCATAAATTCTCCTTTGGGAGATTTCTCCTGTGCCTTCCTTTGCAGGGGTCTTGGCCATAAAGGCCCTTGTGTACATATTGTATATAGTGTATATAAGTTTAAGTGTTCCCTTTCAGGATTGGGACTTTTTATTTGCTTTATGAGCCGTAAAGGCTACATTTATCATTTATTGAGTTTTTTTTTTTTTTCCCCCAGAGACTTGGGACTTTATTGGTTTCTGGCCATAAAGGCCTATGTATATAAGTGTATAGTTATGTGTTTCCTTTCAGGAGATGGACTTTAAGTTATAGCTAGAGATGAGCGAATTATTCAAAAATTTGATTCGGCTGATTCGGCGAATTCGCGGAATAAATTAGATTCGAGTCGAATATATTCGCTGCGAATTTAACTTATAAAAAGGGTGTTTCTAGGCTTCAGAGAGCCATTATATTAGTGCAGAACACTGTACCTTTAATTTAAATGCCCTTGGAGTCTGCTGGGGAAGAGAAATAATACTGTCAGTCAGTATGACATGCAGATGAGTGCCGTCGATCTTAGAATCACCGCACACTTCACTCATTTGGGCAGTCACGGGGCCAAAACCAGAGTGTGGAGCCACAGTGTGGCGGTGGAGGCAGCAGCAATGGGAGGCCATACAGCACCCTATGAAAAAATGGAACCCACCAGCAGTGTGAGGAGACCTGAAAGTGGCACATGGCAGAGTGTGGCGATGGAGACAGCAGCAATGGGAGGCCGTACAGGGACCCATGACACACTCTGGACCTGGCAGCAGCATGAGGAGGCGGTACAGGGGCCCATGACAGATTACGGGCCTGGCAGCAGCATGAGGAGTCGGTACGGGGCCCATGGCAGATTACGGGCCTGGCAGCAGCAATGGGAGGCCCGTAATCTGCCAGCACCCTATGACAAAATGGAACCCACCAGCAGTGTGAGGAGACCTGAAAGTGGCACATTGCAGAGTGTGGCGATGGAGACAGCAGCAATGGGAGGCCGTACAGGGACCCATGACACACTCTGGACCTGGCAGCAGCATGAGGAGGCGGTACAGGGGCCCATGACAGATTACGGCCTGGCAGCAGCATGAGGAGTCGGTACGGGGGCCCATGGCAGATTACGGGCCTGGCAGCAGCAATGGGAGGCCCGTAATCTGCCAGCACCCTATGACAAAATGGAACCCACCAGCAGTGTGAGGAGACCTGAAAGTGGCACATGGCAGAGTGTGGCGATGGAGACAGCAGCAATGGGAGGCCGTACAGGGACCCATGACACACTCTGGACCTGGGCAGCAGCATGAGGAGGCGGTACAGGGGCCCATGACAGATTACGGGCCTGACAGCAGCATGAGGAGTCGGTACGGGGGCCCATGGCAGATTACGGGCCTGGCAGCAGCAATGGGAGGCCCGTAATCTGCCAGCACCCTATGACAAAATGGAACCCACCAGCAGTGTGAGGAGACCTGAAAGTGGCACATGGCAGAGTGTGGCGATGGAGACAGCAGCAATGGGAGGCCGTACAGGGACCCATGACACACTCTGGACCTGGCAGCAGCATGAGGAGGCGGTACAGGGGCCCATGACAGATTACGGGCCTGGCAGCAGCATGAGGAGTCGGTACGGGGGTCCATGGCAGATTACGGGCCTGGCAGCAGCAATGGGAGGCCCGTAATCTGCCAGCACCCTATGACAAAATGGAACCCACCAGCAGTGTGAGGAGACCTGAAAGTGGCACATGGCAGAGTGTGGCGATGGAGACAGCAGCAATGGGAGGCCGTACAGGGACCCATGACACACTCTGGACCTGGCAGCAGCATGAGGAGGCGGTACAGGGGCCCATGACAGATTATGGGCCTGGCAGCAGCATGAGGAGTCGGTACGGGGGCCCATGGCAGATTACGGGCCTGGCAGCAGCAATGGGAGGCCCGTAATCTGCCAGCACCCTATGACAAAATGGAACCCACCAGCAGTGTGAGGAGACCTGAAAGTGGCACATGGCAGAGTGTGGCAATGGAGACAGCAGCAATGGAGAGGCCGTACAGGGACCCATGACACACTCTGGACCTGGCAGCAGCATGAGGAGGCGGTACAGGGGCCCATGACAGATTACGGGCCTGGCAGCGGCATGAGGAGTCGGTACGGGGGCCCATGGCAGATTACGGGCCTGGCAGCAGCAATGGGAGGCCCGTAATCTGCCAGCACCCTATGACAAAATGGAACCCACCAGCAGTGTGAGGAGACCTGAAAGTGGCACATGGCAGAGTGTGGCGATGGAGACAGCAGCAATGGGAGGCCGTACAGGGACCCATGACACACTCTGGACCTGGCAGCAGCAAGAGGAGGCGGTACAGGGGCCCATGGCAGAGTGGCGAAGCGTAAGCAGCTTAAATTGAAGGCCATACAGAGGCCTATGTTAAAAATAATAACATGTTTGGGGCATGATTCATGGCGGATTTAGTCAGTTGTGTCAGGAACTGGTGGTTTGAAATCCAGACTAATCCACGCCTGATTCATTTTCACAAACGTGAGTCTCTCCACACTTTGGTGGACAGTCGTGTCCTCCGCGGAGTTACAATACCTCCTGCCGCACTAAACACGCGCTCCAATGCCACGCTACAGGCCGGGCATGACAGCCTTTCAAGGGCAAATTCAGCTAGTTGGGGCCAAAGGTCAAGTTTCGTTGCCCAGTAGTCAAGGGATTGTCTACCTCGGTTGGCAGGGTGCTGTCCAAGTAGGCCCAAGCCTGTTGTTTGAGGTCCTGCTCCAGGTCCACCTGATGCTGCTGCTGCTGCGGCTGGTTAGTAGTTTCCTCACTGCGCTGGTGAAGAAAGCTACTCATCATCGACTGCAGACTGAGGCAGCCCTCTGCTGGTGGAGCTGCCACTGCTCCTACCACCCACCCCTCCCCTGCTGCCATGGCAGCGGAACGCGCGAGCGCACAGGGCCCACAGTGTCTGAGGATGGACGTTGGCGCAGAAAGGCAGAGACCAACTGACTACATTGGTGGTTTTTATAGTACGTTATTTTGGCCTCCCTCTCAGCAGGTGTGAAAAAGGCCACCATTTTTGAACGGTAGCGAGGGTCCAACAAGGTGGACAGCCAAAAGTCATCCCTCTGTCTGATGGTTATTATTCGGCTGTCGCTACGCAAGCAACCGAGCATGCTATGGGCCATTTGTGCCAAGGAATGCGAGGGACTCCCTGCCTCCATCTCCACAGCATACTGCCACGGTGCGTCTGGGTCCTCTGTCTCCTCCTCCTCCTCTACCAGATGCTCCTGCTCCTCCGCTCCTGTACGCTGAGTGGAAAAACCACCCATTTCACTCAATAATTCCTGAGCACCAATGTCCTCCTCTACCTCCTCCTCTTCTTCCTGTCCTGCCCCCACAGGGGTCATGTGGCGTTGAGATCTGTGCGCCACGTCTACCGCACCCTGACCAGCCATTGTTAACAGCATTTGTTCCAGGACGTGCAACAGAGGAATGACGTCGTTCATCCCATAGTCCTGCCGACTCACGAATAGCGTGGCCTCCTCAAAGGGCCTGAGCAAGTGGCAGGTGTCACGCATGAGCTGCCAATGGCTGGCATCTAAAGTTACACAGGGGAGTACCTTTATCCGCTTGTAACATCAGGAAATCGGTGATGGCCTTTCGCTGTTCGTAAAGGCGGTCTAACATATGTAGGGTTGAATTCCACCTTGTTGCAACGTTGCAGATCAGGCGATGCTGTGGAATTCCGTTCTGCCGCTGCAGCTCAAGGAGGGTGTGCTTTGCGGTGTAGGAATGGCTGAAATGCATGCAAAGTTTACGTGACATTTTAAGGATGTCTTTGCAGTGGGATGGTGGATTTTAGGAACCGCTTGACAACCAGATTGAACATGTGAGCCATGCATGGCGCATGGCACAACCTTCCTTGACGCAGAGCAGACACCATGTTCTTTCCGTTATCGGTCAACATGGTTCCGATTTTCAGTTTGCGCGGAGACAGCCATCTGTCGATTTCTCTGTTCATTACACTCAGAAGTTCCTCCCCTGTGTGACTACGTTCGCCAAGGCATACCAGGTACAGCACAGCGTGACACCGTTGCGCCCTGCACATGTGATATGCCCGGACTTCGGGTAAAGGGACTTGGCACTGGGGGGTGGCGGCTGAGGCGACTCTCCACCGCGGCTCGGCACAAGCCATCATTTCTCGGAAAGGTGCTGAGGTCCACCACTTGGAAAGGGAGGGACTGCAGCACCAGCAACTTGGACAGACAGAGGACGTTCAGCTTTTGCACCGTCGGGTGCGTGCTCGCAAAAACTGTTTGTCTCTTGGAAAACGGATTCCAGAAAGACTGCTGACGGATTATCCGTGAAGAGGAGTAGCAGGAGAGAGAGAGCATCTGAACGAGCGGAGAAGATGCCAACGAGCGGACAGACTCCCCTCAGCAGTAGGTGTTTGGAAGCCTTGACTGGGCTGATGAGGAGGGCTGAATTTGACGTCGGTGTGACGGAGCAACAAGTAACGGGCGAGGTGTGATGGAGCGGGGGCTGGGGCGGGGAGAACCGCCGTATCTTTATCACGGTTTTTCCCAGGCCAACAAATGGTGCCAACGGCTGCATTTGCTGCCGCAACGCTGTAAGTCCAAACATGGGCCCCCTGGCCCACGCTTTTGACTTTTTCTGGCCACATAGTCGACTATTGGCTACGTTTACTTCCTCGGGGGCGGCTTGACGAAAAATTTGCCATCACCGCCGAGTAGTAGGAAACTTTGTCCCCAGTATACTCCTCACTGGCTGACTGCTGCTTCCCTCCGTGCACCAACCGGCTCCACTACTGGCCGTGGTGGTAGGCTGCAGTGGTAAGCTGGTGCTCTACTCCCGTGGAAGTTTGGCTCCACTTTGACACCTGCTGCGACCACTGCTGCTGTCTTCCTGGGCAACCCACGGAATGTTTTGCTCGCTGCCAAAGCTGGCACCCTCTTCTCCTGATGATGCGGGGAAGAAATTGCCTGAATGACGACCGAGGATGCCAAGTGCGATCAACCTTCTCATCATCCAAGTAGGGTCTCCGACCTCAACTACTTAGCCCCCCTCGGCCTTGCCGTCGTGGGTCAGGAGACAGACCTTGTCTCTAGACACGGCTACCGAGCACTCTCCTAGCCACTACTTCTTCGCCTGGCTGCTTGAAAAGGCGGGATGGTCTCCACCCGTTCCTGACCGCCCTCTGTTAGCTCTTCCTCACTGTACAGTGGGGCTGAGCCCACAGCATGACGATTTACTTCGGCTTGGGTGAGGGAACAGCAAAAGGACAGGGGCAGGTAATAGAGGACACTTTGATTTCAGTGGGCTTGGTCCCGGGCCCATGACCAACTAACGGTTGTGTATACGTACCCAGCCGACCGTTGGCTGTAGGGTCAGAGGTGAACCTGGGAAGAGGATGACCGAGCCAACCAATCGAACGGGAGGTTGTTTGGGGGGAACCGACCGCTGGATGACCCGGAGACTGGGCCCCGGGCGCGGCTAGTGCTGCCTCGACCCCTTTTCCCCTGCTGCCCCGTCTGCTCGCTCCTGAAAAATTGCCCTCTCCCC